AAAAGGCAGAAACTTGGTTGAAGAAGGATTGTTCCATTGGATAAAATATTTTTTTAAAAAAATAAAATTCAATCTTAATAAACTATCAAATAGACCCATTGAAGAATTTAATCCTAGTTGAAATATTGTTTGGATTTGGATTCTCATCTATAAATTAGTTCCAATATAAAAAAAAAAAAAAACACAGAGAAAACAATCAATAGAGAAAATCATAAAAATGGAGCATAATAAGGGGGAAAAAAAAGAGACACACAAATTAAAGAGAAAAAAGGAAGGCAAAAATAATCAAGAGAGAAAGCAGGTTTTAAGGCATTGTTTGGCTTGGAATCAAGAACATATGAGGGAAGCCATAGAAAGAATCAAAAGCAAGCAATGGCCTAGATATTTTCAGAGGAACATTATGACATTGTTGGAAGGTTACAGTATAGTTGGAAGAATAAAAGATGAGATAGGCTTTGGCGCGAGGAAGCATTAGATTTCATAAAGCCAAGTATAAGATAAAATAAAAGCAAAACTATTGGCAAGGCCCCCACCATGACACGTGACCCATTGACCACCTAAACTTTTGTTGGATAAGTTGGCCCTGTGCTGGATTTCTTCTCCATCTTGGATTTAACTGAAGTTATTTAGGTAATTTGTTGTTATTGCTATTTTTTTATTTTATTTTTCCTTTATGGCATGTTTAAATTTATAATGAGTTAAAAATTAAAGATTTGTGGGTAAAATAATAATAATAATTTGTAATTTTAATTTATTTTATATAATTAAGATTTTATTTACATTGTGTAATTTAATAAAATTCTCCCTGTGATGAAATTTAGAGAGAATACGAAGGTGACCACTTTAGAAAATTTTTAGGAGAGTAGTTTTTTCTAAATTTGATTTAAATGAAAGAAAATTTAGATAAAATTTCAATAACAATAATTAATATTTATTTTTTAAAAAATAAAAATTTTAAATAAATTTAATATATTTTGGGAATGAATTAACAATTATTCAAGGATGAGAATCTTAAAATTTTCAAATGATAAATTTTTTAAGAAATCTCTAGGTGAAGAATTTCTTTAGATTTGACCCAATGATAGAATAATTTAGATGAAATTTTAATAAAAGTAATTGTATTCTTTTTAAAAATATATATATAAATTAAAAATTTAGGTAAAAATATTTGACAATTATCCAAGAATGAAATCTTAAGAAAAATCACAAATTGTTGAATTTTCATAAGATTTTTACGTGAAAATTTTTTTTTTCTAAATTTAACCCAAATGATAGAAGAATTTAGAGGATATTTCAAAAATAATTGTCATACTATTTTTTTTTTCTAAGGATTAAGAAACTAACAATAGTTTATTCTAAATTTAGCCTTAATGGTGGAAAATTTAGAAATATATAAAGAAAATTTTCTAAATAGACTTAAATAGTGGAAAATTTAGAAACAAAACTTGTAAAATATAAAATAAATTTTGAGAATGAAATTCTTAATAATTACAAACGGATAATTATCTAAGATATTTTAGGTAAAAAAAATATTTCTAATTTTGGTCCAAATGGTGAAAGGATTAAATATACTTTCAATAAAATAAAATTTAAAAAAAAATAAATGATTAAGTTTTTCCAATGACAGAGCATTTTCAAGAAAAACAAATAGGATTCTTGAATACTCTTGAAGTGAGGAAGTACTTTTAAAAATTTTATCAGATTGAGAGAAAAATCTTAAGAATTATCTTCAATATTTAAATATCAAAATTAAGACCATTAGAACTATAAGCTTTAGGATAATTTAAAATAAAATTGTACCATCTTTGGATGGGCATGTAGGGGTGCTATAACTTTTCACATATGTTACTAAACTCCCGAACCTTTTTTTAATTAATAAACTAGAACCTATTCTTTAGGAACTCTTAGTTAAACTTAAAAGTTTTTTTAAAAAATAGATTCATTAAGTGACCAACCACATCTAGATAAAAAGATTGATGACAACTCTTCTTGTTGTGTCTAGCTATGGATTTAGAGATTTATATGTTAAGACAATATCAAAAGAAAAAAAATTCTTTTAATACTTTAATTTCATCAAATTCAAGATGCATTAAATACTATATACCCTAATCAATACCCAACTAATTAATATTTTTCTTAGTTAGGTTCTTTTGATTTGTATTTTTGTTCTTTTTAATTTTTTAACAAAAGATTAAAAAATAAAAAAATTAATAGAAAATAAAAACAAATAGCAAAAAAGTAAAAATTTTTAACAATCTGGGCCTTAGTTAATTAAAGGAAATGTTAATTAGTATGATCTATAGGTGCTTGTTAAATAATTAACTTCTAAATTCTCGAATTTATTTAATCCTTAATCATGTGCTTTGTCATATTAAAATTTAATTAGGTCATAAAATATAAACTTGATCCTTCTACTGTCTCAATTATATTAATTTGGTCCTTTGTACTCTATGTTTAAAGGATAATTAACAACATTGTTAAACCTTTTCAAATGAATTATTGAGTGGCTTTTTGTTGATGACCTAACAATTCGGCGAGACTTGGGTAGATTTTTTTATATGAAATTTCTGAAATTCTTTATTAAAAACATTGAAAAAATTTAAATCAATAAATTAAAAGATCTTATTACATATTATATAGATTAAGTGTATAAAATTAAACAAAATTTCAAAAAATTTTGATAAAATTTTAAATAGATATTTTTACTAAAAATTTTGATAAAATTTTCACTATTAAATAAATAATTGACAAATTTTAAGTATAAACAATATTTATATATATTTTTACATATTATTAATTTTTCATTAAATTTTATCAATTTATAATTTGATTATCAAACTAAATTTTTATATTATTGTTTTTAACAGGAAACTTTATGAATTTCATACAAATAACTCTACTAAAAGTCTTATCCTAGCATGCTAACAAACTTTTTTTATCACGTGGAATATTAGTATAAAAAATCCATATGTTTTCAATAAAAATTTACTAAAAAATTAATTTTTAAGAATGCAAAAATAATAATTATTATTTAATTAAAAAATGAGATTTTTTAAAGTAATGTGTCCGGTAGTAAAAAGATATATCCACCTTAATATGTCAGATAATCGCTAAACTTTCATGACATTCATTAAAGGTAAAATCTTAATATTGTTATAAATTGTCCTTGAATTTATTACTTTTAATAAAAATACATGCATGGACTAAATTCATTAAAATTGAAATAGAAGAACTAAAACAATAGGATTGAGATAGTAGAGGAATAATATTTAGACTTTGACCCTTTTTTTTTTAATTTTTATGAATAGACTTTAACCTTTATATTATGAAGTTTAGAAATTTCCTTTTGCACAATCCCATCAATGAACAAAGGCATTTAGCTTTCCCAAAGAAATAAATCTTTGGTTTCTCCTTTACATCCTCCCAGGAGGCGGTTTAAGAAACTTGCTCATCTTAGTGTTTTGTCATGGAATTAAGCTGAACAAAGTTTTATATATGAAAAGATAAATTTATATTTACTGAGTCAGTAATAGATATTGGTTTTACCTAGCTATTTTATAATTAAATTAGGAGAATTTCCCTCTCAAAATTAAATTCTTTTGGTACAAAAAAGGGATCTGTGGTAAATGTTTGCTCTTTAATTGTTAGTCTTATAGAGTTTTTTTATTTTGGTAAAGAAGAGTTTTTTTTTTTTTTTCCTTTTTCAGGTAAAGAATAAAAGATTTGTCAACACCAGCAAAATACAATTTTTTTTTCTTTGAAAGACAAGAGACAACAGAAACAAAAAAAAAAATCCAAATTAATGATAGAACTAATCCTAGTTGGAACAAGAGAAAATTAACCATTGCAAGGCAAAAAATTAGACACACCATGCAATGCATTTATGCATGGCAACCAATTTAATAACCCTTGCTCGAAAATAGTTTAATCATTGAATAACTTTTGACAAGCAATATAAAATCATATTTAGACAATTACCAACAATTAACATACGCTTTTCCAGCTTGATTAATATGGGGAAATGCTAATAGCCAAAAATGTCCTCTATATGATTAAACTCCCATATCATGCAGGAATATGTATAGGGTATGTAATTCAGGTAAAAATCTAGAAATTTTACAACCCACAAACATTATCTAATATATCTAATTCTGCCGTAAAACCCTTCTACATATGTAAACATTCTTCAGATCTCTGTCTATGGGTATCTTTCTAGAGTAAATACTACTAATTACTAAAATTTTGATCAATAGTTTCTTTTTCATTTTTTGCTTAGCAATGATCAATAGTTTCTTATATATAGTGTCTGGCTAGTTGATGCTGATGCTGATGCATGTCTCCTTCAATCTGCCCCCGCTAGATGCAAATGATCAATAATAATAATAATAATAATAATAATAATGAAGCTACAATATAAAAGCTTGTGCTATTTCCCTCTCCCTTTGGCTTTTTTTTTTTTTTCATTTTCTTAGCTATTATCATTAACCCATGTGCTTCCAACTCCAAGTGACAGCAGTGTATGTATATATTGAAATGAACTTCCAACAAGAATGATTTTTTACCCATGTCAATAACTTCTAAATCACCTCCCCATAATTCCCCGAGAAAGCTTTAGCTCTGACAACATTGAGAAGCTGATTTTCTCTTTTTGTTTTCATTGACGTAAAGAGCAGGTGCAACCAGCTGTTTAGGGGAGAATATAGAGAATTCCATTAAACATAAAAGATATATATATATATATATATATATATATATACAGCTGGAGCTGCATATATATTGACATATTCCCACCACCACTTTTCCACTTTAAGGAAAATTTATGATACTGCAAGTCCTTTTTTCCTGAAATACTTCATGAAGAATACTGAAAGAAAAGAATTCTAATGATGATAATTGTTTTTTCAGCACTGTGATGCATTAAAATAGAATTAATGCGACAACAAGAGATCTGCGAAGGATTCAAAAGGACAAAAAAATGGATTCTTGCTGGAGAACAAAAATCATGTCCTACAAATTAAAAACTCATAAACTCACTGAATTATCTGAAAACTTGCCCATTCCTTACTAAACAATATTGTGTATTGAAAGATTTTTTTTTTCTAACTGCTAAAAGGCTAATCAATTAAGCATATTTTTCTGCTTAATTTTTGCATGTTATCAACATGTATGCTAAAAATTAATGATGCATTGGAAAACCAAAGCTAAAACTGTTATGTATAGTAGGAAAAATAGTTAAATAAGATGGTTTTTTATGATCAAGAAGAAATACCAACACCAAGAAAATCTATGAAAGGAACATCCTTCCCTTTGATGGATTCATCCTCTTGCTCCTGCTGGGAATTACTCACTCTAATATTTGCAAACTTGGGTGCATTATCAGTAAAGCTCATCAACTCTTTCATCACACCATTATTACTTTCATAACTATCACCAAGTTTAAGGTAGCCAAAAGGACTCGGAACAACCCTCCTGTAGTTTGGGATACCAAATGTACTGGAATTTCTGAAGCCGCTACAATATGCTGAAGCATTTGAATGATGTTTATAGAGAGATTGATCTAAAAATTTTGAGCTGTCCATGGAGTAATAACTGGAACCAGAAGCCAATAAATAATCTTTTCCATATGATCTTCTTGATAATTCGGCTAAAGATGAATAGTTTGAAGCCATGATTGTTGAAGAAGCAAAAGTCCAAGATGGTGAAGAAGTAGTTGATGAGGATGAGACTGAGAAAATCCTATCTTTACAGGGGTCTTGAAATTCAAAAAACCTACTTTCTCCAAACCCAATTCTTGAGCTAAAAGCCTCTTGACATCTTGCTAATTTCCTTGGAGTAAAATCAGTAGAACTTAGTTTAGAGTCGCTAAAACCGTCTTGAAAACTTCTCTTCCCACATAGCTTGGATTGTTCTCTTTGTTTTCTAGCCATTATAACATGCCAATGATTCTTCACTGCATTATCGGTTCTACCGGGAAATAGTCTAGCTATTAGTGCCCATTTGTTTCCATGAATACGGTGAGCAGCAAGGAGCCTTTCTTCTTCTTCTTCTGTAAATGGCCTTCTGTTGATTCTAGGGTCAAGTTGATTAAACCACCTCAATCTGCAGCTCTTCCCTGTAAAAACAGATACTTAGAAAATTAGGAAATGCTTCATATAATTGGGTCATGGATGTGTATATTAGCATAAGAGAAAATTTATAGGGAGTGAGAAAGAGATCGATCGTGCTTTTGTTTATCATCACCACCAGTTCATGGCAGATGATGAAGCAAATTAATTAATCATGTATTATCTTCTCCTGTAATATATTTATTAAAACTTAAGATACTATTAATATTAAAAAGTTGATCAAGTCGGTAGAAGGGAAATATCTGATCGTCATGTGTGTAGAAAAATAAAATCTAAAATAATAATCAATAACCCATATGACCCATGTCTGTGTTAAAAACTAGGGTGTTAAAAGGGTTCTTGACAGCCCTTCTCTGTATGACGATTTATAAAAGCTTGCTTTGCCAAAAAATAAAAATAAAAATAAAAATAATAATAATAATAATAAAATAAAAAATAAAAAAAATCCATATGACCACACCAACTCACTCATGGAGGAAGCCTAAACATCTTTGCTGATTTAGATCAAGTTTTGAATCAGCTGAATTATTTATGAGCTTAGCACTTTGCTTGAACATCATACTTTTAGATCCCAGAAGATTATCAAAGTTAATCAGAGTAGAGGAGAGAACGAGGATAGAGCTAATTTGGCAAGTCTTATAATAATACCTGATCTTCCTTGGAGCTTTTCTGCAATAGAGTTCCAGTTTTGTGCACCATACTGTTCAACAAGTTGCCTGAGTTTTTCATCCTCAGCAGGCCTCCAGTGTCCTCTAGGACAAGTCTTTACATCATCAACAGAAGCAGCTCCTGAATCGTCCATGGATAATCGGTGGAAGTTATGTTAATTACTAGCTAGCTATATATGAAGGCGGCAAATTGTTTGTCTTCAAGCACGCCAAAAAGAAGTGCGAGAGAAGATATATAAGGAGCTAGAGAAGAAAGGAAAATGAAGAGAGCATAAGAAAGTGCGGTTGGTTTAGGGTTGTGGATGGGAAGTCACTTTTGTTGGTTTTACACGACACATTAAGCCTATGTATCTGTAGAACCACTGACCCTTTCTTGTGATGCTATTGGCCCATGAACCACTCTATCAAAATTTTCCCAACTATATTTTCTTCATTGCATTGCTAGTTGAGGAAAAGACTTGTGAAACTTTTTATTAAAAATGAGTAAAAAAATTAAAATTAAAAATAAAAATTGAAAGATTGAAAGATCTAATCATATAAATCAACAATGAAAATTTTGAAAAAATTTTAATAGGTTTTGATATATTTATTAAGTAGACATTTTATGTAAAAATATTAACAGAATTTTTACCGTTGAATAAATATCGATCAAATTTGAATTATAAATATTATTTTAATAAATTTTTTTTTATATATTATTGATCTTCATATTGAACTCTATTAATATATCAGTTTTAATTTTTTATTAAAGTTTTTATTTATTAATTTCTAATAAAAAATTTTACAAACTTCATCTATATAACTTCATGTAAGTTTTTCCACTACTTGATCTCTTCAAATAATTCTTCCCCTCTTTTTTTTTTCTCTCTCTCTTACCATTTTAAGCCATGGTATTACGTTAAATCAAGCCTGGTGATTAGGGCACCTAGTAGTTTTTATTAAAGGGACAGCTCTCCTGGTGCAAAACACTTCTCACTTTCCTAGTTGCATTCATTGACAAGGGATCATGAATTATCACCTTTAATCTGCTTTTATTTCGTTTTCTAAGGTTGCTTTGTCATGCTAATAATGCATGGATGCCCCTTGACATTATTAACACTGACAATTTTAATTTTAATGAGCCTATAGCATAAAAGTATAGCCTTTTCTGTTTCCTTTTATACAAACAATTTCACTTCTATGAACACCTCGAGGTGTGAATTACATCGATTTCAAACTTAGTTTCTAAACTCATGTTAAAAGTGCATATTATATAAATTATACAAAATTTTAGAAAAACAAAATAATATATATATATATATATATATATACACACACACATATATATATATATATATATATAATTTGAAGCTTTTTCCATGCATGCTAACGAATGATGATATTGCCACAAAGAAAGACCTTAATGACCACATAAGCTGTATCAACTATCAAGAACAAACAATGTGTAGACCTATAGAATGGAGAGATCAATTACTATATAGGTGATAGTGTACATTAATGTTCCATTTATTGATCTTTGCTCTTTTAGGCACATCATGCTTCCTATTTGAAGCATTTTTTTTTATTTGCATTGCATTTGGAAACTCATAATTAACTTGGAATCAGTGGCAAAAAAATTGGTAAAATTCGAAGTTGTCATACCAGAATTGGGAACAAGATAATGTTATGATTAGCTAGCATTTTAAAGCATGCACATGCACTGTCTAAATCAGATGATTCCTAATTTAGCGATTTAATTTGTTTGTTTTGACATGATTAATTCTGATTTCCAGAAAGGGTTAAATGGAGATGCTATGCTCTCTGCTAGCCAACTTTAAATCAGCCTTTTTCTGAGAAAAACCATCCCATTTTCATCAAGTACTTTATTAAACATGTCAAGCTAGCTGTCAAATTAATTGTATCTTGTGTCTAGAATTAGACTATTGGATTTGTTCAACATTCTTTAATATTTTAATGATAATCAAACAAAGTCATAAAAGAAAAACAAGAATGATAATAAGACAAGAGAAGCTAACTTCTTGGTTTGTTTTCAATATTTTTTCCCCAATTGTAAAAAGCAGTAATTTCTTCAAGAAAGGGCTTCGTTGGATAAATAATGAGATGCCTGCCATTGCACGCTTTTCTTTCTTGTTATAGCAATGACAGAGTAAACCAAGCATCTGAAATAAGCTTGTTCAGTCTCTCCAATGGTGCACGGTTTGAAAGCAATGGATGGAGAGCAGTGGTAGCCAACAATATGGTAGTTGCAAAATATTGACATGAATGACAGTTGAGCTTAATAATGTTTGCGAAGATTAGAAAGCAGATAAATTTTTTACTTTGGGCTATAAATGTTTTTGTTTTGTGAGAAAGAAAGGAGACCTTTAACTGAAAAATTTTTTGTGATCAGCAAATGTAATCTTAAGGGCTAATGCAAATGCCGTGCGAGGACAGCATCAAGAAAAGTATGGGTAAACCGTCTGCCTTTTTCCATACTTCCATGCAGATGGCAAGTCAAATACAAACGTTGAAACATTATGCTGAAAATTAACTATTATATAAATGGTTTTCTTAACTGATTGAGATTTTATACCCCACGAAATCAAACATCTGAAATCTCATCTAAATGTGCTTAAACTAACCTATCCGTTACCATCATCATGTACAGAATCAAGTAAACTATGTATCATCAACTTGGAAGGTATAAACTCGGTGTCTAATTCTAATACGTCGATGTGCCAATTTATCTAGTCCATGCTATATGATACCTATAATCTGAAGAAAAAAAATATTGGTGTGTGGATTATTGTTCACTTGATTGATCCATCCAAACTGTTTCATCCCAGAAATTGGCTTATCGCGCATGTCAGCTTTGATTTTCTTGATCCTTATTTGATGACTATCAGGATCATCTCTTGACTGCTTTATTGTGAATTAGTTTTTGGGTTGGTAGGCCAGGTCGGTCGATCAGGTTACATGTACAAATCAGTATAATAATCAGAGAACAAAAGTTTGGAGTGGATTGCAATTTTTTGCTAATCAAAAACAACCTCAAAACAGGTCTTATGGTTGACTTCAAGTATGCACTCCTTAATTAAATATATGCTGCCCTAAGATGTTATTTCGAAAATATTCTACAAAATAATTCGAGTCTTTTACTTCAAAATACATATCCCATTCTCCCAGGAGTTGATTGAGTCTTTTACTTCAAAATTTGATCAGAAAGAAGCTAGCGATGGTGGTGTCAGCTGTCAATATAGATGTAAAAAGGTCATAAATCAAATCACGATTACCGCCACTCCTGAGAATTTAATTCAGGACCACTTGCCTAGCTACTTGAATTTTGTCATTTCCGAGCAGATTATAAACAAGAAAAATTTTGAAGCTTGCCACCCAAGTTCATCAAATTATATATTAGTCCCAGTACTGCAAATATTGTTTAAGATGAACTGTCCAAATTAAAGGATGTGAGGAGGATAACTTTTTCAAGTAAACTTGTGATGAGAAAGTGGCCAAGTTGTGTTAATATCTAAATTTTGAAAGTGACCAGAACAGAATGAGAAATTCATCCTCTTTGGTAGTTGAAACATTGTACAAAATACCCACCAGAGAAAGAGTTAGAGAAACAGAAATGAATCGTGAATACAGTCAAATATACCTCTCAAAACAGAAAAAAAAAATTGAAAAGGGAATATATGTCACAATAATTAAGGATCTGATTTCAGATAACATTTTTGAAAATTTTCCCAGAATCTGACAGAATTTATTTGTTCATTTGCACCTTGAAACATGAATTATATTCCGCATTGCATGATAAAATAAAATATGACAGAGCACAAATCACCATTTCAGTGATCTTTTTTCTGCCTCTAGAGCTTGATGGACTTGATTTAATGAAGCTAACTGACCGGTGAATCTAAACGCAACTTTAAGAAGGAATGACTTCTAATAGTAATGATTGCAAAATGATACATGAAGTCTCTCCATGTTAATGACATTTAAAGCCACCTAATTAGAAAGATCATTGCTTAATGCTATGCATAAAATACTAAACTATCCCCCTTGCCAACCCATCCATCAATTCAATTAAACCCCTTGATTAGAAGAGTTTTGATGTCTAAGAATTTTAAATATTTTACACAAAATTTATTTATTTATGGTAAGATTTTATAGTTGTGATTGAGTTACTTCAAAATTTCGTGATAACTTCTATTAAATTAAATCCGCTTGATTGAAGGAGACGTGGTAGTAAAACAACCATTTCAGTTTTTATAGAAATTAAACTGTTAAAGAATAATGATACGTTTTTCTTTGTTTCCCATGTGTGTTTGTGTGTATGCTTCTGCATAAATAGTAGGGTTTGAAATAGCTTTCAAACAGTAAATGCAAAGCGTTTCAGTTACTTGCACAGCCAAACATCCATTTTCTTCAAACGTCCTTGTATTGAAAACCATTATATACCTTTTCCCCTCACCTTTCCTCGAAAGCCATACAAGCAAACCCTCTATCATCTTCCCAACCACACCACATTTTAGCATTTAAAGAGAAATGAGGAATTAAGCCAATTGAAATTCCTCAACAAACTACTTTGACTCCTACAATATATGTACTATCCCCTATACCTTTCTATTTAACCTTTGGTTTGCACTCAAAAAGTAAATTCCTATAGCTTTTCCCATCTTTGCCTTTCGTGTCATTCTCAGTTAATTCTTTCTGTTACTATGGTAGTTGGTCATCATTTAATTTTTTTTTCCTTCAAACACTACTTTGAAATATAAGGGGATGAAATATTTGCCCATGGGATAAAAGGGAAAAAAAATGAGGGGAAAATTGCTAGAACCTAGCCCACCTACCTTGGAAAATAAATAAATCTCGTGCATATTGAAAAATTGAAATCAGGAACAAGTTAATCACAGCCCCTAGAGAATTATACTCGGAACTTATATAATTTGTCTGGGTTCATCTCATCACAACGTGGTATTTTATATAAAATCAAATTCAATGATGAATAGATTGTTGTTACACTTTAATGCTTTTAAATATTTAATTCTTAGATACTATAATTAAAATTTTAATATTCTATCAAATTGATAGTTTCAATTTCAAATTATAATACAAATGTTCATTGTAACCTCATTAAATAATACTAATTAAATAAATATCAGTCAGAATCGAAACCTAAAATTACTTATTGTGGAGATGATACGAATGGTTTTACTAATCAAATCAACTTGTTGTCGGTTGTTATCATAAAAAATTATATTAATTCTAGTAAAGAAAGGATGCAGCCGATAATTATATAATATATAATCCTCATTTTTTTTTTTTTCATATACTTGCAGCAGCAGCCGTAGATGAGAAACAAAAACAGGCAATCAATCCAGCGGTTCTAAGACTAGAATACCCATGACGTGTTACCCAACACAATGGTGAAGTGAAGTAACCCAAAAGGATGTCTTTTGTTGAAATAAATTTCTTGTTTTCCATGCTCATTAAAACTAACTCCATTATATTATGACTAAAA